CAAGGAACACAATAAACACTCAATGATCTTAATCACATCGATGTTGGTTGCGACCTGATGTGCCACCGTTACTTTCGTCGTGGATTTCCTCCGTGATTCGGAAACACACCGGTATAACGGCGTGATGCGATTGTGTCTCTGTCCGTGACCCAAGAAAAATTATACTACACTTCAGCTTGATTCAGTTTGAATTTGTTATGTTTTAAAAATGAAATAAAAAGCTATTGATTTTTTTACTTAGTTCGATTCGCTTTTATTCGGTTTTCAAAAATATATGGAACATTAAGAATTTAGTGAAATTTTCGTATCACATCACTAGTGCTATCACGTTTATTGGGCTCACTGGATTGTCTTTTCAATCGATATTTGTTATATGTTATTCATGATAAATTGACAACTCCGTAATACATTTATCTCTCTTCAATTACGGACAGAGACACAATCGCATGTTATACCGGTGTGTTTCCGAATCACGGAGGAAATCCACGACGAAAGTAACGGTGGCACATCAGGTCGCAACCAACATCGATGTGATTAGGATCATTGAGTGTTTATTGTGTTCCTTGGATTATCTTTAAACCAATTAATTTGTAGTGTATATGTTTTTTTAATGAATATCATGTATTTGTATGTCATGATAAATTGACAGCTGCGTAATTCTTCTCTCGTTCTTAAGTGTCATCACATTTCATATTTTTCAATGCATAAATTTGACCATTAATATATACTTTATCTGTCCCTGAATTGTCTTCCAAAATTGATTTCGCACGGGAATGAAGAAAGGGAAAATTGTGTAGTGAAGAATTGTACTGAAAAGAGAGATACATGTAACAACGTGTAAAACATTTAATGAACCACAAATTCTTTGCAAAAAAAAATTATTTTGAGACTGACGAACCAGGAAATTTGAAAACTAATTCATGGACAAGGCAAGTCTAATTCTCTAATAATAAAAAATCAAAAAAAAAAATAACTTATTAATACATTAATAAATAAATCGTAGTTAAAGTAGAGCATGTGGATATTGTAAAATTCAACATATAAAATTTATTTAAAAAGAGAGGAAATATGTCCTGATTTTTAGGACCAAAGTAGTCTAAATTTATATCATTAATAGAGTACAAGCTGAAATTAAAAGAAAAAATATCAAAAATAGTAGCAAGTTAAAATTTTGCTACATACGGTCATAGTTCATAACAACCAACAAAGAAACAACTTGGGTTTGCTTCACCGTTAGTAAGGGGGTGTAATTGCCCTCCTTTCATTGTTTTTAAAGTTTTTTGCACAAAAAAATAGTTTAAGGGCTTAGATGTCCTTTGGTGACAACTTGAAGGGGTTTTTTGCCCCTTTTCCCTAATATCTTTGATTCTTTTTCCAATTTAGGGAGTAATATATTAATTATACTACCGTATGTTACATGGGTATTCAAGTTAGATTAGAAGTGTTTAACGTTAATTTGGACTAATCTATACAGTTGGAGTCCTAAAGCTTCCTAGAGTTGTGCAACTCAAAAAATAAAATCCCATATTTTTTTAAACTGCTATAACTTTTTAAGTTGTATTCTGATCATTACCAAAGTATACCAAAATTCATAATTTTTTATTATCTTTCATATGACATCAATATTGAATATATAAAAATAAAAAATAATTTAACACTTCAAAATAATTACTTTACTGAATATATACTTTGTAGTATTTACGAAGTATTAGATTTTTTTGTTACAATACATTGAATGGTGGAAGTTAAACTTGACTCAAATTTGGAATTTAAAATACTTTGTATGTCTTTTTTTAAATACTGTCTCTGTTCTCCAATGCATGTTCTCCTTTCCATTTTTAGTTGTTCTATAATGATTGTCTCTCTTTCAATTTTTTGAAATTTTTTCAATAAAATATACATATACACTCATTCTCTTTCCTACTTTTTCATTTAAACACAACATCAATAAAAGTAATACAAATGTTTTTAATTAGATTAAATTTTTCTGGTCTCGCTTGATCTGTTTAAGTCTGATCTGGTCTTTTTTAGTCTGATCTGGTCTAAGCAAAGTAAAAACATCTTTCGCCGGGTCTCTTATGAAACGGGTCTCTTATATTGTTTCTAGAATTGCACTCAAACAGAATTGCACTCAAATTATATTTTGTAATAACTTCAACCAAATTAGCTAGAAAAATAAGTTCAACTTTGCTTATTTTGATTCTTACACAATTCAACGTGAAAAATAAAAAATTACATGTTTATGAAAAAGTTGATTGATAAAAATGATAAGCTGAAAATTGTATTTATCAAATGTGATCTTAATTTTTTATTTCTAGAATTGCACTCAACTAGAATTTACTCTATGCATAAGTGTATATTATAGTTTAAAAACATGATTAAAAGCGTACTCTATTTGGAAAATAAAATATTCTTCAAATTTTAATTTGACATATTACCTTTAGCATTTTCATTTTTGAAGAACTCTCAATGTATACGCTCGGATAATTTGGAATACAATATGAATATTATTAAGTAATTTTTCAAAAAGAGGGACACAAAAATGAAAATATTATAACACTGTTCTTGAAGTTTGCGCAAATCAACGGTCCTTAAAATTTGTGCCTTAAACATCCCTATCGTCGATCAAAGAAAATAAGACAAAAAGGTCAAATAGACCATTCTATTATATTGAATTCATTACTTAAGTCATTATATTAAAAACTAGGAAAATTGATAACAATAATCTCAATTATTACAGGTTGACTCATAATATATAGTCCCAATTATAGATTATCTCAGAATAATTCAAACATTAATGACCTTGTGCTTATAATAGTCTCATGTGACCGACACCATGTTTAGTCAATTACAAAAGAAGTATCTGAGTGTAACAATCTGATCTATCTGTCAACTTTTATTGGACCCTAAAAATTAAAATAAAATTTGCATAAATAAATAAAAATGGTTAAAATTGATTATAGATATTATTTTTTGGGAAAAGGTGCAAATAGGTTCATGTACTAACCAAAAAAGGTCAAATAAGCCCTTATTTAGGAAGTTCTGGCCGGCCGTCGCCATTTGGGGTGGTTCCCGATGGAATTTTTTGATGAATTTTTTTGAACATCTTATTCATCAAGTCTAGTTTGCTCATACCAAATTTCAGGTAAAACTTCAATCAGATAGGCATTCAAATGAATTCCAAAAAATTTCATCAAAAAATTCCATCGGGGACCACCCCAAATGGCGACGGCCGGCCAGAACTTCCTAAATAAGGGCTTATTTGACCTTTTTTGGTTGGTACATGAGCCTATTTGCACCTTTTCCCTTATTTTTTACTATAATTAACTTCTTAGGTTTCTTCAAAAAAAACTTCTTAGGTAGTTTATGAAATTAAAGAATATATAAATATAAAATATGGAAACATTATATAAATTTGAAAAGTAAAATTCTATAATATTTAAGATGTTATTAATATATACAGAAAATAAAAATTATAAATATAGGGAGTAAATAGGCCAATATAAAAACTTTAGAGGAAAAACGAGTGAAAATCAAGTACAAATTCAAAGTTAATAAATGAAGATCTACAATTTTAAAACTAAGAAAGTGAAAAAAATGATAATATTTTTTCTAAATACTTAAAATTAAAATATTGAATAATTTTAAAATTAGTTAAAATCAATACAAAATCATGAATATGCAAAAGAAACCAAAAATAATATATATAAAAAAACATAAATATTATATTTTAGAAAAACACAAAATATAAAACAATGATTTTAATTTTTAAATTGTGGTACATTTTTAGATTTAGATAATTTTAAATTGTAGAAAAATCCTAATTTTGAAATCGTAGTACCATTTTTTGTGTTTTATATAAAAAAAAATATGTTGATAATTGGGATATTTAAAAGAAGAACAAGCATAATTCTGATTAATAGTGACCTGGTATGACATGTTATACCCCAGTATGCTTGAGTTCCAAAATATATAAATATTTTTAACATGTTAAAATAAATAAAAAATATAAAATTAGAAAATAAAAAATAAAGTAAAATTATTAAAATATAAAATTAAAATGGAATAACTTTAAAAAAGATGTAGAATATAAACACAGTTCTTAATGCTAAAATATAGACTTTGACATTTTTAAAGTTTTTAATGTAAAAACCCTACTTCTACAGGTTAAAACCAGTTAAAAAGCCAAATTGATTGATTTTTTAAATAAAAAACATTTATATGATATTTTTAGTACGTACTTAAATGGTAGATTTTGAACATCAAAATGATCTATTTGACTTTGTTCCCAAGCAAAAATAGGTATGCAAATGACCAGTGAAGTTTTTATTTTGGTCGGGGTCCCATCTCCTATTAAGCCATTCAAGAAGAATTCCATTGTAATGTAGAATTTCATCATGACCAACAAATTTTTTTGAAAAAATAAATGATATGAATGTATCATTCAAGATACCTCAGCCACTACATTCATTACAGGATCAGTTTGCAGTCCATTTTGTAGTTCACCAACAACATCGTTGGATTTATCTTCTTCAGCCTAACAATTGGTAAATCACACACATATCTCAGTCATATATGACATTGACACAGACAACACGAAAGAGTTATACAGACAAAACTTTGCTAAATACAGACACTATAAACTCCACATGACAATAACATTTTTTTAGTAGGTCTTCAACAACTTAATTTGCAAATATTAAAACCAAAACCCAAGATTTTACAAAAACATACCTCAGTTGCAATAGGCTTAGTAAACATATTTTGATCTTCAGGAATAACAAATACAGAATTATCCCCTTCACCCTAACTATTATTTATACAGACATTTATTACTTAACACAGACAAGACGATATTTACGTAGTCATAATACATGGCTACATACAGACACTTAAAATAGCACATTAACAATTAAATGGTATACCTTTTCCTCAGAGTATAATTCATTTGGAAAGAATAAAACGAAAACCCGTAAGGTAGAAAACTACATATCACGGTCCCAGCATTGTCAACACCATGTGTAGACATCTTTTGAACTTCAGCATGTGGTGCACAAATTTCCGTGTCTTTTTCATGATGACTTGGGGCAGATGGACCCCCCTTACAAACCAACAGCAAAGTATACAGTAAGAGTACATACGAACAAGAATTTACTTAATAGAGACAACAGAAAATCACATCACAGACATATCATAACAATTTATACCTTTTCCTGTAAAGCAATGTTGACTTTATCAATAACCTGAAGCAGCAAGTCTTTTAGTCCACCAAGCTGCTCATCCACCCTTTTCTCCAGCCTTTGAAGACTTGTTTTGATTTCTTCAATGTTCACACACATTTCTTTAACCCTTTCCCTTGTTTGTACTTCAAGATTGTCTTCATCTTCATCTTCATTATCGGAAGAAGGGGGGGTAGGCACCTCCTGTGAAAACAAAAACATGACTTAGTATTATAAATATATACAAAGTATATTAGGGGACAATTATAATAGGAATTATAAAGAAAGAAGACTTCACATTAGGAAAGCAAATTTTCCGTATCATAGAGGACCGAAATTTCCCATGACATGACCAATTCAATATTGGGACTTCATGATTACCAACACGTGTGCCAAAATGTTCCCCAAATTTAGGTAACTTTTCATACGCCCACACCTAAATAAAAGAAGTATAAGTCAAGAAAGAAAGATTCAGTAACAAAGATCATAAACATATCTGGGAAGGAAATGTATTGTCTGCGAGCTACTAAATAAATTCTGGGAAGGACATGTATTGTTTGTGAGCAATTAAAAACATGTCTGGGAAGGACATGTATGTCCATCAGCTATTATATGCTGTTTGGGAAGGATAATAATTGTGTGTAACATGAATAGAAATGTCTGGGAAGGTAAAGTATTGTCTGTGGCAGACAATACTTGAAGATTACAGTAAAAAATTATACAAAGTAAATATGAATCATACCTGTAGGACCAATGGGAAACCGTAGACCGAGAACTTTGCATTTTTGTAACCAGGGTTGTTAGCTTTATTGTCGAAAAACTTCTTTTCCTGGCCATCAAGAAGCTTCTTTAAATCGGTTACCAGCGAATGGTAAGTGTCTCTGGACCACGGCTCCTTCTTGAACTCCTCAAAGTCATTTACCAGCTGAAAAGACCTCCTGCTAATCCTTGTTGACCTGTCTCTTCCGAGCAATATGTTCTCAATCATGTACAAGGATGCAAGCTTCACACCTAGCATCGCTCTGCCTTTTCTAGTAGGACGCACCATTTCAACCCTCTCCTTCAAACGCAAGTAAGTGATATCCAAAGATCCTTTAAAGTATGTGGTAGCAACCTCCCCAGGTTCTTCAACTTCTTCAGCCTGTTCATCAGAATTTTCTTCAACTTCTTCGACCACGACAGGTCTAGGGGCTGCCACCGGTAATCTGGTAATGCGGCAGAAATCATTATATGTGAATTCTACAATTTTACCCTCCACATTAAACCACAGCTCATCTTCAGGTTGTTGCTTCACAAGGCATAAGAGCAACATGTGCACAATTTGGGCACAAAACTGAATGTCCGGTATATCCAAAAGGTGACCCCACGGTGTGTTCCGGAATCTTGACAATTCTTTCTTAGACAACATGTCGGTAATGCACTTCCTCGCACATTTGTAGTCAGAACACATAGAATACTGTGCAGGGAAATGCTTGCTCAATGGAATCTTAAGTTCAAATGCCCTGTGATTGCAAGGAATAAGTCATAAGCACACAGACATATGTTAAGTCACACAAACAAGTATTGAGTTAGATATAGACATACCCCCAGTTATTTATTGGGCTGAGTACTCTAATGAAGTCAATCCTAAAAGTTAGATGTTGACTGCTATACAGACATACCAACTTTTTTGCCTATGTAGTGTATATAAGTACAAGTGTATATAATCAGTTACATGCTGGCTGCTATACTAGATGGTTTTAAGTGGAATCTAGCTTTTATATTAGGATTAAGTGGGGTTAAGCTCAACATAAATGCAAATAGATGGTATTAAGGGGAAAAAAAGACAACATCACTTTTTTTTCTTGATTATGACTAGAGAGTTCAAGGTAAGTATGGCTGGTTGTGAATTCTTTTTTAAAAACTTTCCTTCAACAAAACCTGTTTTACTCTTATATCGTTGTGTACAAGTACATACATTAATATTATGCACACAGACATATGTGGAGGATTACAGACACATATAATTCTTCACAGACAAACTCAGCCAGAGAGCCTGTAACACCCGCTACCCGTCCCGGAAGGCTAGGGCAAGGAGTGCTACCCGCAGTGCCGAAGCACCAAAGCGTTAGCTGATTAACTATTTTCTTAAAATATTTTTGGCCGAATTTAAATGAGATTAATAATAGATTTAATCAAAGTCCATAAATAGCGGAAGCATAAATATATTACACAAGTAGTTCTGGATTTTGGAGTAAACAAATACATCCATGAAAATTGAACATTCTCATGTTTATTTATTGCACAACTAATATGCTAAATGAGTACTTATTATGCAACTAGAGATGGATTATTACTAATATGTGGATGTGACTCTTTGATGATTGGCTGCTGCTCCCAAATGCATCCCGGATCCGCCTCGTAGCGCTTATTGACCTACGCGAAGGACAAAAATCCAACGCGCTAAGCAAATCTTGCTTAGTGGTGTTCATTCTTTCTCGATACAATTTCATTATCAAATATCACATAATAAATCAACAATTAAAAATGACCTGACAAATATAAATTGTATTGGAAATATAATTAAACTTCTCCAAATGATTTACGATTGACCTATAAATCCCATACAAATGCTTTTTGTTTCAAGGAGCTTTCCATTTTATTTAATAATAACGTATTGTTGAAAAGTGATACTGTATTTAAACTCTTAATAGTTGCTAAATACCAACTACTTTAATGCCTTAATAGCTTGTAAAACACAGTTTTATATACATCATACATCATTATATTCGTATAATGGTAGCTCTAGTTCAAAATATTTACTTTACTATATATGTTTCAAAATGCATAATATCCCCATTAAAATTCTGCTCTTTATTCCATTTGTCAATACCTCAGCTCATAATTTTCTTTATAACATATAGAGCGATATTTAAGGTATACTTTTCATTATTCACAATTTCTTTCAATGCTCTCTGTCTCGATTTTCATCACTTTTTGTCACAGACGAAATTCACGTGAGCTATATCTAGCTGTAATTCAATAATTCATTCGATTTTCTTCTTGTCTCATTTTAACTTTCAATTGCTCAACTTTAATTCATCTTCTGCTCAATTGTCAATCTCTCTATTTTCTTTTTCACACTTTTATTTCTTTATGAAGTTTCTGGAATTCTACTCCTTAGTTTAATGAACTGGATAAACGGGACGTTCTCATCTTTGGTACTGTCCACTCGGTGGCTACGGACCCTCAGAGAACTATTTCGGCACGGACCACTCGGTGGCTCTGACCGGGGTTCGTTTGGGTACTGTCCACTCGGTGGCTACGGACCCGTAAACGAACATATTTGGGTGCTGTCCACTCGGTGGCTATGGACCCGAAATCATTGATCAAATTCTACAGCCGTGTTTTTATCCCTATTGGCATGCCAACCTATCCGAATCAAGAAACAAGATTTCGAATTCCATTTGTTTTTTCATTTATTTTGAATGCCAAACTATTATGAATTTATGATTATCAGCTCTCATTTAAAATAACATCATTATAATAATCTAAAATTAATATTACTTATATTTATTCAAATATAAGTAATATATCTGAGTTGAATAAGTTTTACATAAATAAATTTCTGATGTAACACTATAAGTATTCAAGTTCGTGTTACCTTGTTATATGTACACAAGTCATAAGGTCCGATTTACATAATTACTAGTATGTGTACCCGTGCACCGCACGGCAAAATATGCACTTAAAGTTTGTATTAAAATTGTAAGAGAAATGAATTGTATGTGAATTTGTCAATCAAAGTTTAAAAGAAAATTCACTTGATTGTGGATAGATTTGCCAAAATGAGTCAAAATCCCTAGGGTTAGCCCATTTCATCCATTTCACAGTGGGTAAGAGTAGTTGTCATTTTTTTTACCCAATGAACTCACTGGTTTCGTGAGTCAACTTGCACGGGTTGCATGTTAAGTGATAGTTGACTCATGCAGGTTGTGAGTAAACCAAAATATAAACATATGTTTTTTTTTAGTTTTTTTTGTCTTCAATATTGATGGTTTACTACCAAATTATTTTCAAATATAACTATTATTTTACAACCCTTGTTGAACTATTATTTCTATATATTAATAATTATTCAAATAAATTACTATAAATTAGTTTTGGAATGAACATTTGTATTATGATTAGCTCTGTTTAAGTGTGGTCAAATATGATTTGTTTAAGTTTGGTATTAATTGTTATGATAGTTCAAATATGTATATGTTAGAATTCTCCCAACTTTTAGTCTTCCGACTATTATGTCAATGACCGTTTTGGTATTTCACTTTTATTTTTCCACTTTTAGTCCTTTTACAATTGTGCTTTAAGTTTTTATTAAAATTGTAAGAGAAATGAATTGTATGTGAATTCGGCAATCACGGTTTATAAGAAAATTCACTCGACTGTGGATAGAGTTGTCGAAATGAGTCAAAGTCTCTAGGGCTAGCCTATTTCATCCCATTTCATGATGGATAAGAGTTGTCGTTTTTTACCCAATGAACTCACCGGTTTCGTGGGTCAACTTGCACGGGTTGCATGTTAAATGAGTTGACCCATGCAGGTTGTGAGTAACCCAAAATATAGACATCTATTTTTTTATTTTATTTTTTGTTTTCAATATTGATGGTTTACTACCAAAATTATTTTGAAATATACTTGTTATTTTACAACCCTTGTTGGACTATTATTTCTATATATAATAATTATTCAAATAAATTACTCTAGAATATTTTATGTTATCGTTGAAAATAATTTCTTAACAATTAATAATCATTGTTTACAAATGTTTACTCAAAAGATGTAAATTGCGTCTTTTTTTGTACAATGAGTGTTTTTTATAGATACTCCCTTCGTCCCGCTAAGGTTCTCTTATCTTTTCCTTGCGATCTGTCCCTCTAACACTCTCTCATACGGAGTACAAAATTAGCTAAAGTTTGTGTGGTTTTAAATCATTCTTACTTTATATTTATTTTATCAATTCAATGTCAACCACATAAACTCATTTTTCTTAATAATCGTGTCACCACCTCATGTCCGAATGTTAGTGGGACGGAGGTAGTACAATAATATAATAGTTACAAAATTTAATATACCAATGAATTAATAATATTTTAAATTAAACTTATCAAGTATTGTGTGCTTAGTATTTTAGTTTCTTATATATATAATTTGGGTGATATTCTCCCAAATTTTAATCTTCCGATTATTACTTACAAAGATCGGAGCAGTTTGGAAAATATCAATAAGACAAAGAGTGTTGTCACATGCGAACAATTTTTCCATAGGGGTTTACCAAGATTTGCTTTATTATATTAGTATATAGATAGATATAGATTTCCTTCATTGGCATCTTCCAAGATTTTTTCATAATTGTAAATGCATATATAGATGTATAATGGTAAGTTTACAGCCTGAAATTTTAACGCATGTTAATGTAGATGTGCCAATACTTAGTGAAGGAGTTTTGGGAGATCAACAAATTTTTGTTTGTGTTTAATTGCTTATAAATGTTAGAGACCTATGGGATCATTAGGATGCCACATGTCAATTGTTCTTGCAAAGGGGTTGCCACATGTCAAAATTCCTTCATAGGCTTCTTCCAAGGGTCTCCTTTATTAAATTATATACATACGGATTATTTAATTTAATTTGATCATCAGTACACATATCACATATGCATATAATTTAACTTAATATTTCTACTACGTATATGATTGATTGAAAATCATTTTGTAATGTTAATAAAATTATTAGCTATGTACTGTGTTAAAATCATTTCTACTATGCATATTAGCTATTCTTTATTTATTATTATAAATTGTCTAGTTTAAACTTGATAAATAAGAACGTAAAACATGAGATTATCTTCACAAAAGTTAATTAACTTAAATGT